ATTTTTCTAGACTACAACAGAGGTATATGTGACTTTTGAGTGGATGTGGTGCTTGGAGGGGACATTGATGTCATGCAAGGAGCTGATGGGAATTTTCTTTAGGACCCTGGGAAAGAAAGAGGAAGTTGTAATCAAGGAAAAAAGAGGAAGTGGCCATATGAGTAAGCATCCCTGATTTTGCCTTCTTCCACCTTGAACTACCACCATGAGGTTCTGTAATTGTTTCTAGGGCAAAACTCTTTCAAGTACATCCTTCAGTTTCAAGGAAGAAATCAAAACAACGAATTTTTGCCACCTGTCTTCCTCTATGGCTGGTAGTAAACCATTCATAAGAAATACTGTTAGTCATTTCCTTAATGCATTGTAGATACCATCACCAAAATTACAGATCATTTCACTTTCAGAAGACAAAAGTAGCACTTAAAGTCAGGGATAAAGCCCTTCAATGCAAGCATCCCTGGAAAGGTGAGATCAACATTGTAGAATACAAACTACTACTGATTTATATGACTTCAGGAAAGAGAAAAAGTTATAGTGATATTGCTATAGAGTAATGAATCTATGTGTCTAATATGTCTGGTATGAGTTTGTGTTCTCTAAAGTCAATGAATTTTAGGAACAACAGAAATTAAGAGCATAATATACTTATTGAGAGAAAGAAAGCTACCTGAGAGAGAGAAGGGGTCCTGAGCGGGATGCCAAACACTGTCTTTCTAGGGAACTTTATAGAGTAAAATCATGTGGTGAAATGAGTTTAAGGTGGGGAAAAACCGGAATTCACAATGCAGATGGGCATAAGACGGGACAGAGCTATGGTAGCCAGTAAGATTATAAGTTCATGTAAAGTTGATTAAATTGGGAACAAAGAGGGAAGGGAGTCACATAGAAAGCAGGCATTCTTAGGCAGCAGTGACTTTTCCCTTAGAGTTTTGGGAGAGTGACTCCTGAGTTCATCAAGATGATGGGAAATATTTTAAATGTCAGTCCTTAGGATAAGGATACTTTTCTTTGAGTGGTGACTCCTGACCTCCTCAGAGTGCTAGGGAACTATTTAGAATATCAGTCTTTAGGATATGGATGAGTTTGCTTATCATTTGTCTTGAGACGTGGCCCATAGCATGAGGTGTCAGTCTTCCCCATACTTGCATGGTATCTGGTCTCCTGCATGGACTCCTTGGAGGACCTAGCCCTGCCTCATGCCAATACTATTTAAATAACTCAGGTGCCTGTAACAGTACTGTTTGGATAATTGATTAGAGATGTCTTGTGGTCTGGGTGAATGATCTGGGGATGACAATGTGCAATGTATATACCAGTGTTGCCCCCTGATGAACATGATTTGAAACTTAATTTTAGTTGATGTGTTCTTTTTTCACTGAAATAAAATGGATTTGAAAATTAAAAGCCTGAGGTAAAGTTCTTCAGTACAAACACTCCTTTGGTCGAGCTGAGTTCACCACTGTAGAAGAATGGCAGCTTCAGAAGTCTCTGCACTACAGTCTATCATTTGGGATCCTCTCTTGCAGGGAAGGTTTTCTTTCCCTGTTGATTCTTGACTCAGAAGGAGGGCAGTAGAGCAGGAGTCAATCAGTGATGAAGGGGCAGGCTATATGAACTGTCCAAATTTCAGGCCAATGCTGGCTGTGACTTTTGTCTCTTCCGGTGTCTCAGCATGATTTACCTTTTCTGAGTACGATACTGGTAGCAAAACACTTGCTGGATCTCATTTAGTACTTTTGATGTCCTGTGGCCTGATTAGCAAAGAACCTGAGAGATCCTGGAGCCATGGAATGGTGAGGTTGTGGATGGGAGCCCAGAGATAGGGTGGATTGGGTGAAACCAGTTACAAGTATTTAGGAGTAGTTGTGGTCTCTGGAGCCTCAGGTATTTAGTTAGCTTCAGCTCCTGAGGTCCTCCAGCATTGCCCATGGGTCATTCACTGTCCCTTTTGCCTCTTGCTGTTGGCAAGGGTGATTTGGGGTCCCCAGAACCCTGGCTTCATTATGACAGCAGCAGACTCAAGTATCGTCTTTGAAATTCACTGCTGGCCTGGTAACTCCAACATCTAAGGCATTGGAAGGAGCTTGGGAAGACCCTGATTATGATGCTTTTTGTAGCTTGTAGAGCAGTAATGAGCTAGGTCTATGCTCTCTTTCCTCAGAGTAGCAGATCTGGAATGTCCAAAGTTTATTAATGTCTGTAATGCAGGGCCTCATAGCCAAAATGGCTCAATTTAAACTTGGGTTTTTTGTATTTATAGTGATCTCCTCAATTTATAGTATGTTCTCATATTTCCATCCTCATGACAGGTAGTGGCAAAGATCCTGAGAATTCAGAGACATGTAGTAGTGTGCCTCAGTGGAAAAAGGCTTCCCAAACAACTGGTGAACTCCTGTGTATTATACAGATCAGTGCAAAATAATTTCTGAACATACTTAATTATTTAGGTGGCACCCCTGCTCACAGACTAGGTTTGTGAGAACAGCCATAGAGTTTTGAAGTCTGAGAAAAATAAAGCAAATATGAAAGTGTTATCAAGGACAGGGTAAAATTTTATGAAGGACAAATTCCAGAAAGGGCTATCAGTTAAATTCTCATCGAAAAATGCTGAAATTTAGGCATTTGCATGGACATATACACATGATATCCTCTGAATGGAAAGGAATAGGTGTGTAATCTCTGAATTAAGAGCTGATTTAGTGGCTTGGTTGTTCATAGACAGTTTAAATATGGAAATGCTCTGCAATGGAATTTACTAAGTGGTGTAAAGGAGAAGCTCTAAACAGAAATTTTGCAGTGATATCAATAGTTAGGCATGAAGGGTTTCCTGCTGAGGATGGATCAGAGGAGTGTGGAAAGGATGTGCAAGTGAGTGACAGGATTCAGGAAGCGTATAGCAGGACATACAACATAGAGGGTCTTCACTGAAATTCAGGTAGTTCTTAAAGTAAGCGTGAAGTTAAAGTTGGGTTCTGGTTGCTTCATTGAGGTTATCAACAATAGCTCTGGCAACAATCAGTATTTCAAATCCCTGTCAACCCATGAATTTTGTGTTCCATACTTAAGATCTAATTTGGATTATCTCTAATTATGCCTCAGTGTCATGAAGGTAAAATTTGGATTTTTTTTTTGTACCAAGAATCGAACTCATGACCTATGCTTTCCAGGCAGGCGTTCATGCCACTGAGCTAAATACCCAACTACGAAAGTGTTTTCTTTGTTGTATGGAAGAGATCCACATTGTTTCTCAGAAAGTGTTGAATATTGTTAGAATTTTTCCATATTGTATGGCTATAATTTTTAAAAACAAACCAAAGGTGTCTTATGCATTCTCTTTTCAAGTTTCACTTTGTCTGTGGGGTGTCTCAGTCAGGGTTTCTCTATTTTAGACAGCTCTGTAACTTAGGATAGCCCCAAATTCAAGGAAGAACTCCTTCACCAGTCTCCCAAGATATATTGCTTACATCTGAATTGAAAGTGATCGCTTGGTGACAGTGAGCTATAAATTACAGCTTGGGCCTGGTTCCATTTTATATACTTATTTTTTAAAAACAGCATTTTCACTAACATTTGAGTTATTATTTGTGTACCATATTGGATGTTATTTATGTTTTGTTCTATGAAACCAAATTCATGTTTCAAAATGCTGCTGAAGTATATGAAGAACAAAGTACTCACTGGCCTAAATGAGATTTGAAGAGACATTATCTGCAGCCTATCAAAGTGATTGCTGAGATTTTTTTTTCTTTTTTTAAATTTTGAAAGTGGCAAAATATAACAGAACAAGGCAGAATAAGCCCAACTAAGATCATACAGTGAAATTGGTACACAACTTCACAACAGGTTACTGCCATAACAGTAATAGGTATCACAGTATATTTTATTATCTTTATAATAGTTGTTCTTTCAAACACGTATATCAAAATGAGATGAAATACAGAACATTATAGTACTTATCAAAACAGAATATTGAATAGAGCAATACCATTAATCAGAATAGAGCAAAACAGTAATAAAAATATTTGCCTTCAAAGAGGTAGTAGAAGGAAGTCCCCCTTATTTGTTATGGTCTGCTTCCCAGGAGACGCTCAGATTTCTGGTTCCCATTTGCTAACGGGGGGTGATAGGAGAAGAGGGGTAGGGAAGTGGGATGTTTGATTCTAGGCCATGCATCAGTAGGTTCACTATTGCTTAGTAGGGAGACAGGCCTCTTGTTTGGTTTCACAGCATCCTCAGTTCCCACATGGCATGGATCTCAGGAGCTGCTGCTGGCTCTCCCCCTGGAAGGGCCGCATTCTGCCAGACCACGACCACTTACCAGGGAGAAGTGGTGCTTGCTTGCCTTCCAAGTGTCCTAAATTCCAGCATGGCATGGATCTCAGGAGCTGCTGCTGGTTTGCCCCCTGGATGGGCCACCGTCTGCCACACTGCCACCACTTACCAAGGAAGGGAGGTGCTTGCTTGGCTTCCCAGTTGATTGATGGGATATTTATCTGCCTCTGTGCTTTGTGGATGCTGGTCCTGCAGGCTTCTCACTGTGAGCTCTGCCTTAGAGACAGTACACAGGGAATATTGCAGTGACTCAGCACAAGTATCAGTGCTCCTATTTCACTGTTACATTAGCAGTGAGTTACAATCTATCATCAAATTTGCTGTCTTCAAAAATGTGTATATACACAAAATTAATGACCAAGACATGGATTTAAATTTGAAGAAATCAGTCTTCATTCAGCTGTTTTGTTTGGTTGTATTTGTTTAGTTTAGTTTTGTTTTATTGAGACAAGCTTTCTATATGTATATCAGCTGGATTTGAACACCCTGTGGAGCCTAGAATTGCCCTGAACTCACTGAAACCATCATGCCTCAGCCTTTTGAGTGCTGGCATTATAGATATATACCAGCACACTTTGCTTTTGATTCAGATTTGTAGGAGAGAATTTAAGATATCCCAAGCCTGGTGTCTCAACCTTCGTGTGAGAAATATATGTATGATCCTTTAGGAGGTGGTGACCTTTGAGGATGTGGTCGTGAACTTCAGCAATGAGGAGTGGACTTTGCTGAGTCCATCCCAAAAGAACCTCTACAGAGATGTGATGGGCGAAACCTTTAGGAACATGACTGCAATTGGTAAGGACAAAATACTTTTGTCACTCATGCTGTCAGAATGTTGTATGTCACTCATCAGTGCTGTTTCATTAAAAACAATGTGAAAATATTTTTAAAAATAGCTCAGACCTAGACACATTATATCATAACTCTAAACAATATCTATTAATTTGTATGTATTATTCTAATGAGTGCTGGTATTTCTATGTCTACAATTTAGGAGGACTTGGGGATATCCAGGAAGCTGAAAAAGAATGCAAAATTTACTGGAGATACTTAAGGTAATTCGCACTCATAAGGAGAAGGAATGTTCCTGAATAATTAGTGAGTCCGCAGAAAAATACCACCAAAGAAATGAGGCACCATTCAATTTATTGTCAGTAATATTCTCCGAAGACGTATAAGCTAGGGTATGTATAATGAGTGGATTAAATCAAGAAAATGTATGACATTGCATATAGATGTGTATGAAAGGCATACACTTTTGAGTTATGACATTCTCCCTTCAGTTTTTCTACCCATATATACATGTGAGTACAACACATTCATCATCTAAAAATTGCTAAGATTGCAATAGAATTTGAAATAAAATGGAGTTCTTGTGTTTCCAAGCCATGCTCTAAAGAATCAGCCATTCTGACTAAAATTCTTAGAAGGCTGATAGAATGTTAAGTGCACTCATTCTGAATATCAGTGTGCAGTTGTCTCTAGAAATTGATCCCCTCATACTTGTCCTGGATATATTTTTAAAAATTCAAAATGCACATGAAATACTGATACATGCTTACTCATATACAAAGCAGAGCAAGTTGTAATAGATCAGGCCTTGAAGAAGCTTAGCTATCTATCACTGCATTTGTGGAGAAGGAAAATGTTAATAGACTCTCTGTGATTGTGCATTCTTGTAAATCCAGCACACTAGGAATCAGATTTTGCAGAATGGAAAATTCAAGTTCAAACTTCACAGCTTAATGATCAGCGAAAATCTCTTAAAACACATTTAAAAAGCTATAGATTTTATGCTAATAGCTGTTGTTCATTCCCAGCATGGAAAAGAAAAAAATGTGTTACATAATGTCAAAAAATAAATAATATAATGTCATTTGCCATAAGAAATAGGTGGTTCTTTCTCCCATCAATTCGGTGAAATAGCTCAGCTATAAAACCTAAAAGGTCACAGGGTTTCTTTTAGATGAGAAACCAAAATATAAATTGTGGAATGAAATGAAAGAGTTAATAGAGAAAAGTAAGACTGACCATATGGAAAAGGAAACTGCAGGTTAAGGACAGAAGGGAGATTGTGATGGGGAAACATATCAGAATGATGTGTATGTGATACACATATGTACCTATGCCCAAAATGAAGATAAGATTTCTGCATTTCAAAAGGTACCAAATTTTAAGATTTCCAAATGTGTACCAGTCTTTTGGGAATGGTTGTTTTCAACATGTCTTACGAGGCTGTTCTGTTACTTCATGGTCAGAATTTCTTAGCAGGCATTAAAAACAGAACTTGACATTAATGCAGTCATTAAACTGAGACCCATTTCACTGTGAATGTTTCTTTTTTTTATTTAATGTAAGGAAAGACTAAAAAAAACAAAATAAGTAGAAATGATACCACTTTCAAAGTGAAAATAAACAGTAAGAAATCTAAAGACAATGATTACATATGCTGCGCATAGAAATAATTAATGAAATACAAAAGTGAATAGTTAATGAAATACAAAAGAAACATATGAAGTGGGGATTCAAACAGCGAGACTGCAAACAATTTTGTTCAAATCTCCAATAAAAACTTAGTAATATGATTATCAATCTGATACGTGATTTTTTTTTTTTTTACAGAAATGACAATCTAGGGAAATCCTATGGACATACATCTTGGAATCAGTGTAAAGAAGTATCCCTTTGTACTGCAGAAGGTAATGTGAATGTGAAAGAAGCAGAAACACACCACAATGTTCAGATATGTGAAAAATATTGCAGTGGAGAGAAATCCTATGTATGTCAGCAATGTGGAAAAGGGTTGACCAAATCTGGACATTGTAAGCAACATGAAATAATTCACACTGGAGTGAAACCATATGTACGTAAGAAATGTGGGAAAGCTTTTAACACATGGGCAAATTGTAAAATACATGAAAGAATTCACACTGGAGAGAAACCCTATGTATGTAAGCAATGTGGGAAAGCTTTTAACACACGGGGAGTTTTTAAGAACCATGAAAGAATTCACACTGCAGAGAAACCCTATGTATGTAAGCAATGTGGGAAAGGTTTTACCCAACATGGAGATTGTAAGCAACATGAAAGAATTCACACTGTAGAGAAACCATATGTATGTGAGCAATGTGCGAAAGCTTTTAAAAGACGTGCATATTGTAAGGTTCATGTAAGAATTCACACTGGAGAGAAACTTTATGTATGTAAGCAATGTGGGAAAGCTTTTACCCAACTTGGACATTGTAAGCGACATGAAAGAATTCACACTGGAGAGAAACCCTATGTATGTAAGCAATGTGGGAAAGGTTTTAACACACATAGACAGTGTAAGGAACATGAAAGAATTCACACTGGTGAGAAACCATATGTATGTAAGCGTGTGGGAAAGCTTTTACCCAACTTGGACATTGTAAGCAACATGAAAGAATTCACACTGGAGAGAAACCCTATATATGTAAGCAATGTGGGAAAGCTTTTATCACACATGGACATTGTAAGGCACATGAAATAATTCACTCTGGAGTGAAACCATATGTATGTAAGCAATGTGGTAAAGCTTTTACCCAACTTGGACATTGTAAGCGACATGAAAGAATTTACACTGGATAGAAACCCTATGTATGTAAGCAATGTGGGAAAGCTTTTAACACACGGCAAGATTGTAAAATACATGAAACAATTCACACTGGAGAGAAACCCTATGTATGTGAGCAATGTGGGAAAGGTTTTAACACACATAGACAGTGTAAGGAACATGAAAGAATTCACACTGGTGAGAAACCGTATGTATGTAAGCAATGTGGGAAAGCTTTTACCCGACATGGACATTGTAAGCAACATGAAAGTTCACACTCAAGAGAAAACCAGTGTATATAAGCATCATGAGAATTTTTTGAGCACAAGTACATATTGCATAATGCATGAAAAACTTCACACTGGGCAGAAAACTTATATATGTAAGGAATGTGGGAAAGGTTTCAGCAGAAATGCTCATTGTCCAATACATGAAAAAATTTACACTGTTGAGAAACCCTGTTTATGTGAAGCACATGGGAAAGCTTTAACCACACATGGATTTTGTAAAATACATCAAAGACTCCACACTGGTGAGAAACCTTATGCATATAACAATGTGGCAAAGCTTTTAACACATACAGTCATTGCAAAACACATGGAACAATTCACACTGGGATGAACCACTGGCTACGTAAGCAAGTGGAGACACTTTCAGCAGCCAGATTGTAAGTGAAATACATGAAGAAACTCACACAAGAGATAAATCCTATGTGTTATGGGAATACTCAGCACACATGATCATTGTTTTCATTTATCCCTATCAACCTTATGTTGTTCTGCTTTGCGTCATCTTGCAGGGTTGAATAGTTATTTCCTGATTTCTTGTTATTTTTAAAAGATCTTCCCTTTCCTGTTCACTGGCTGCAATCTTGTCTTCGAGGTCTGAGATTCTATCTTCACATTCATTGAGGCAGTTTTTATAACTTTCAATGGAGTTTTTGATTTCACTTTGCATTTGCTTTATGTATTCTGTTTGTTTCTTACAGAGTTCATCCAGGGATTCTATCTTTTTGTTTAGTTCCTCCAATTTTTTAACTGTCTTCTTTAGATATGTTCAGAATCTCCTTCATTTCTTTTACCATTTCTTTTTTTACCTACGAGATTATTTCTAGTTTGAATTTGTTTAATGCTTCCCAAAGTTGCTTCTTTATTTCAGTTACTATTATTTCAGGTATTTCAGTTATGTGGAATGTGTTTTCTTCTATGCACATGACTCCTAGGCTTTTTTGGGATGGGATGAATGTTTGAGATTGCATTTTGGTCTTTCATTTTGTCATTTTGCTGTATTTTCAAGCTTCAAGTGTTGTTCCAAGTGAGGGAATGAGTTCACCATGATTGGGATGGGATTTCATGCCTCGGCCGAACTTGCTGGCAAGGTAGGGAGTTCCCTCAGACTGGAATTGGAATCTGTTCCTCGGCCCCACTTGCTGGTCCCAGCCCAGGAATCCGTGGACTGGTCCCCAGCTGAGCACGAGAGTTACTCCAAACTGGGAAAGGATTCTGTGCCTTGGCCCGACTCCCTGGTTCTGACTCGCTGGTCCCAAACCACTGGTCCCAGTGGGCAACCATGGGCTGGTCCCCAGGTGAGGAAAGGAGCCCCTCCAGACTGGGATGATATTCCGTGCCTTGGCCTGACTTGCTGGTCCGGGCAGGAAACCACGGGTTCTACATCAGGTTTGATTATTAACTGCTTTCACATCCTACAACGTCTTCAAAGTTGTGTTTTTATAAAAATAGCTATATAATGTTATGCTTAATTGTATAGTCCCTGATGATGTGGACAATTCTATTGAAAATAACAAGAGAAAGCATAGTAAGTACTGTATATCACCTAATATTGTGGTCTTATATGTCTCTTTCATATCATGATTTTCTAGGAGTTTGTTTTGTTGTCTTATTTTGATCTGTTTTCCCCCATAACACAGAAAGGATAGATATCCACATAGAGATTCACACATCGGAAGAATTTCTAACCTATTTATTTGAACAAATAATATAATGCATAATGTAATGAACAGATACTCTGAAGAAGAAGTGACACTAAAAAACCCAATGCTAATTCTGTAGCATTATGATATAAAATTGAGCAATACTATTATGCACTGTTCAGAGTGATATTAGTCTAGTCTCTTATTTTTTTGGGAATTGTAATTTTAACACGGCATAGTTTTAATCTTTTGATGCACGTGCTTCATTTTCTCTTTCATAAATGATGTTTCTGAAGTTGAGGCAATATTTGGCATTAAGATATACATTTGTAGATGCTTGGAGTATGTGTTTTTGACAAAGTTGTGTTCTTTTCACATAACTTGTACATTAATGAATGTTATGTTTTCCAAGTTGTGACAAGACATCTGCTGATTTCCTAACATCACTGGATATCATACCATGTAAATTATGTTGCCTGATTTTGTTTCTCAGTGGAGCCAATATTTGTTATTTAAGTAAACCTTTGTTTTTCTAACCATCAGAATTTTACTTGTTATGTTTATATTACATCTTTTTTTGCTAGTAAGGTTTCCCCACATGTACCAAATGTAAACCATACTACTGTGAATTTCTGACTGTGCCATACTGACAGAATCATAACTTGTCTCCAATAGCACATCACAATAGATATATCAATATCTCCAGAAATTATAAAGTTTGGCATGATTTATGAGTAACCAAACTTTGAAATCAATTTTTCTTAAATATGGAATTGTTTGGGGGGAAAATGTTGTTATTGGATGTATTGTGCAAATGCCTTTATTTTATTCCTTGATGCTGTGAATGCATTATATATTTTGTAATTATTACTGTTTTTTCCTAAAATACTGTATTAATGGCATGAAGGGAAACCTAAATTTTGAGCTGTCAACACAGTAAAAAGTAAATTTGCTAAATTAAGATTCAGATTGTGTTCTGTTTTACTGAATTGTGAATTTATACAATGGCATATCACTTTATTTATAAGGACCAGTGCATGATGTTTGTGGTGTGTACTGATTATCTTTAAACACATACACTGGGCCATGAGTCCCAGTTGGTTTCCTGTGGCCTGTGGTTTTCACTTCCATTTTAACGTTCATGTAATTTGTAACGTGTTTAATGCCATGTTGTTGAATACAAACTCTGCTTAGGAATTATGTTGTTAAAAACTGTGGTGTTATGAAAACACAAGTGAACATTGCATTAAATACCCCTGATCCAGTGAAGATAGCTTGCCCAAGTCTCAATTATCCTTGGGAAAATAAATTACTCACCTCTTATGTAATCACCACTAAAACTATATCTATTTTGTACCTGAAGAACCTGATATACTTCACAAAGTAAAAGACACTGTGAAGTACATTGTCAGCCTCTATGCACTACAGCATGTGGCCAGATCCCCTGCAGCATATTTCTGCTTACCATCAATGGGAATATTTGGAGTTTGTATTACAGCTAATAATAGACTACTGAATCTATAAGACATATATCCTGAGTACATGCACTTTCTCATTTTACCATGAAAGTAAATCTTGCTGGTTCCGTTGATGCATGCTTGTAATCCTAGCACCTCGGCGGGCTTAAATTAGTGGAAGAGGAAGTTGAGTCTAATATACACAATTAGAGTGAACTTGTCTCAAAATATATCTTCAAGTTCTGCAGATGTTGCTTAATGCTTTAGATCTCCTCCCTTTCTTCCCCAGCAACAACATTTTTTAATACTCACAATTGCAGATCAGTAGTTGTCCTTTTATCAGTTGGCCATGTAACAGTTATTCCAGAGAATCACTTGTGAAACACATTTGTTTTTGCAGTGACCATCCTGAGCATCATTTGGGCAGTTGTCAATTTAACCCATTCATTCTTGTATTGAATACAGTAGAATTGTCACTTTTATATTCCTTGTTATTTTATAAAAACTAACAAAAAGTATGCAATTTTTGATCATTTTGTATTTAAATAATTGCATTGGTAAGGAGTTACCTATAAAGATTAGGCTAAAGATGATTTCTTTAGTTCAAGCATCAGGAGAGAATGAGATGGGATGATAATGGCTTTGAAGCTGACTTTGGGAGGCAATTGCTAGATGGTTTAGCAGAGTGTGAAACAGTTGTTTTTATGCCTGCATTTGAAGTTTAAGGAAACAAGTACATTGAGGTCAAGAATATAAATGTACGATAGGGTAAAAGAATCACTGCTGCAAATTGTGATTTTTCTTTTACTCAGGAAGTGTACTTTTTTTGGTAATTTGTGCAGCAGTCTCAAATATGCCTTTATTGGAGTAAAACAGTGAAACATGAAAGAGCCAGACATTCCATGTTCTGAATGTAGAGGTGTTAAAAAACATTTTTTAAAATACTATTGCTGCTCTTTTGTGTAGAAAATAAGATAGGGGAACGAAACAAGAAGAAGGACTTTGTAAGATTTTAACCCTCCTGCATAAACATAGAAGCCACAAAAAAATCAAACAAAATGATGAAATAAACTACAGAATGAGAGAAATTTTACCTGTTACTCTCTGATAGCTAACATGTAAAACCAATAGGAACGTGAAAGGAACACACATTTTTCAGAATATGTACAACTGGCCAAGAAATACCTGAAGACCTATTGAGCATTTTTGCACAGTAGAGAAATTCAAATAGGGACAGCATCTCATTGCAGAGAAAACAAATCCCCACAAGATCTAAGGAACGTACATGAGACTGCGGGAGTAAAGAAACTATTTAAACTTGTTGGTGGAAATGTAGGTAAGTAGTTCAACTACTACTGAAGTCAGTTTTTAAAGTATTCAAATGACTAAAATTAGTAATTCTCATTAGTGCAATGCTTCCTTTAGTGGGTCTATTCCTCAAAGAGTTAAGGACATATTGCAGTGATGCATGCAGATTCCTGTTACTGCAGCAATAGTCATTTTTCTGTGGAGAGCAGCAGCAAGCACTGCTCCATCACCACCAAATATCAATGATGAACAATAAATACTCACCAGGGTACTCCATTTGGTTTATGGTGTGATATTTTATTGTGAAATGGGCTGTATCTTCGGTTTTCCTAGTAGACTATAGGTCAGTATAAACGTGATAGTCATGGTAATGTCACAAGGCAATCACTAGTACACTATTATGTTCATTAGATTTGATACATTTATCTTTTTGAGTAAGCTTGTTGCTATGAAGTTCAGGCTGGCTTTGAGATCACTTTATAAACCTGAGTGGTCTCTACATCTGCCTCCCCATGCCAGCTGCACTTGGAGAACTGCTGAGCTTCCAACGAGTGGGCGGGCCCATGCTATGCCCAGAGCCCAGCCTGTTTGGGATTCCCCCACCTAGCCATCGGTGTGCAGAGGAGGGGCTGGGTGGATTTGGGGGGCTGCATCAGCCTCCCCTTGTGTCTGGAGGACTGTGGGTATCTCAGCAAGCAGGGGAGGATTGCAGGTTCCAGAGGCCCTGCAGCCTGTGGTGAGTGCTCAGCACACTCTGCCCAAAGCCCAGACTATTCAGGTCCCTCCAGGCTTCCTGGTGCAGTAAAGTAGAGAGGTGGGTTTGAGGTGTCTACATCTGCCTCCACATCCCGGCTGCGATTGGAGAGCTGTGGAGCTTCCAACGGGCAGGTGGGCGCACAGTGTCCCTGAGGCCCAGCTTATCTGGAACTGCAGAGTTCTGAACAGGCACAGGAGGGCCATTGGTTCTACAGGCCCAGTGGGTTGGGGTAACATGGTGCCAGAGTCTCAGTAGCTGCAAACATGGAAGGGGATTTCCAACAGATCCTGAGGAAGCTTTCAAATAACACTTGAAACACAGAAATGTAGGAAAATAACAAAACGAAATTCCAAAATACAACCTCAAACCTCCAGCCCATCTCAAGAAACCCTAGGAGCAATGTATATAGAAGAAAATATATGCCATTCACCTCAAATATTGGACACAAGAGCTACTGAAATTAACAAGCAACTCCAGGAAGCTTTAAAGAAATTCAAACTCGAAATAATCTCCCAGGTAAAAGAAGAAATGATAAAAGAAATGAAAGAGATTCTGAATATATCTAAAGAAAACACAGATAAAAAATTGGAGGAACTAAACAAAAAGATAGAATCCATAGACAAGCAATATAAGAAACAAACAGAATACATAATGCAGATGCACAGAGATATACAGGAAATGAAAAACTCCACTCAAAGTTGTAAAAACTACCTTAATGAAAGCGAAGATAGAATTTCAGACCTTGAAAACAGGATTGCAGCTAGTGAGCAGGAAAGGAAAGATCTTTTAAAAATAACAAGGAATCAGGAAACAACAATTCAACAACTGCAATTCGATGCAAAGAAAAATAACATAAGAATGATAGGGATTAATGAAAAAGCAGGAGACCACATAAAGTATGTCAAGAAGATATTTAGAGAAGTAATAGCTGAAAATTTCCCAAGCATGAGATCAGCAACTGACATCAGGATCAGTGAAGCATATAGAACTCCAAATAGTCATAACCAAAATAAAACTACACCCAGACATATAATAATCACCATCCCAGAAATCCAACACAAGAATAGTGTAGGGAGCGGCTTTGAATAGCTGCTGCTGCCCTGCCCCTCCTGCCTGAGGGCATTTTGTGTGTCAGCCTACATTTCCCATGATCCTCATGTCCACCTACATTACCCATAATCCCCTCCTGCTTACGTCATATATCCGGATGTGATGGTGACCTATCAGATAACACTCTGTGCCCTCTTCCTGCCTTTGGCCCGCCCCCCACCCTATATAAGTTGTAGCCATTTTGAAAATAAACGAGACTCGATTGGAATCTCATCCTGTCTCCATCTCTCTTTTCTCTTGCCCTGCCCCCATCCCCGATCCCCTCTCCAGGTGAGACCCACGGATTGGTCCGCAGGCCGGATCAGAATAGATTATTAAAAGCTGTCAGAGAGAAAACACAGATCACTTATAAATGAAAACCTATCAGAATCACAGCAGACTTCTCAGCACAAACAATAAAGTCAAGAAGAGCATGGAGTGAAGTATTCCAGATCCTAAAGCAAAATGATTTCCAACCTAGACTGATGTATCCTGCAAAACTATCATTCAAAATTGATGGTGAAATATGATATTTCCATGACAAAGAACAGCTGAAGAACTTCATGAACACCAAACCAGCCCTGCAAAAAATATTGAAAGACAGTTTAGATACACAAAGGAAAAAACCACTAAGCAAAGCAGATAATTAACCAGAACACAAAGATAAAGATGCAACAGCAGAGAGATAACATTCCTACAATTAACCAGCATTTAACAGTAATAACCATTAATGTAAATGGTCTCAATGCACCAATCAAAAGAAACAGACTAACAGAATGGATCAAGAAACAAAATCCAACCATATGCTGTTTACAGGAAACCGATCTAACCCAGAAGGATACTCACAGACTGAAAGTCAAAGGATGGAATACAATACTTCATGCAGCAGGAATCCAAAAAAGGCAGGAATAGCCATTCTGTTTGCAGACAATGTGAACTTTAAACCAACAATGACCATAAAGGACAAAGAAGGTCACTACATACTCATAAGGGGAAAACTCCAAGAGGAAGAGATAACTATCTTAAATATATATGCACCAAACTCCACAGCACCCAGTTATATAAAACAACTATTAACAGAAATGAAAACTCAAATTATCAGTAACACAATTGTAACAGGAGAACTTAATACGCCATTGACACCAAGGGACAGATCAACCAGACAGAAAATGAGCAAAGAAATAACAGAACTGAATCACACCTGTGAACAAATGGGTTTGATAGACATATACAGAATGATCCACCCAACAACATCAGAATACACATTCTTCTCAGCAGTACATGGATCATTCTCTAAAATAGACCATATAT